GGAGGGGGGGCTGCCATGATGCAGTTTACTTGGCATCTAGAAAATGTATTTCCTCAAAGATATTTTTAATCTGAAAAGAGCTTCACTGAGTGAGCAGTAGTGTTAAGAGCAGCAGACAGTTTAAGGTTCAGTTTCAGTTTCGAGAGCCTGCAGGAGTCATTTTCGGGGTGTGTGGGGAKGGGGGGTGGTGCTCTGTCATGAGGAAGTTTGGCCTAAAGACATGTCCCAGAGGCGTTTCTGGTCCCAAAAGGCGTTCCTGGTCCCCACCTGTCGTTTTGCTCCTCAGCATGGCTGCCTAAAAACACTGCAGGATTTCTCAAACATGCATGAATGGGTCAAAGTAAGGCTTTGGACATGTTGTTTATGAGAGTATAACATTATAACATGATATAAAACTCAAAAAAATTGATTTTACTTGACATTGCCCCTTTAAAACATACATGTAAATATCATATCTAAATGTAATGGTTAAATCTTAAATGTTGACCTTTACATTTCAGTATTTAGGAATGGAATGCAGCCTTTGCCGTGGGTGCTGCAGGCTCTTGCTAGAACATCAAAGCAACTGCTAATGCTTGAACGCAGCTAAAGCTTCCCTGCAAGGTATTAAACTTGCAGTTGCAGCCAGTGTCTGAGCTGCACGTCAAACTGCAAGACCACAGGTACCATCCATATTGTTTTTAGTGAACACATTTTGAATTTAGAAATTAAATACCATCTTCAGCGTATTGGAAGTGGCTAGCAGCGCCTAGTGTTTGTCTCAGGATGATGACATCATACTGGTTAGTTAACGCTAAAGTCACCAAATCAGGATATTTTTATTTCCAATTAAACAGCTTTAACACATAGTTCTATTGTATTAAGCTTTCAAATTGTCCAATAATTTTCTTTAATTCAAAGTTAGAGAAAACAAAGTTACAAGTCACACAATCTAATTTTTTGTTTTAGTCTACAACTTTGTCCTTTTTAGCCTTCACTCTCCACAACCGATCACACATCTCTGTTTTAACACTACATGCAAAGCTGAATATAAAGTTCCTGTTTCATACTGTATCTAGAATTAGCTGATATGCAGCTAACATGTCTTATGTAAAAATAAATCAGTACAAAACCAAATGAGATTTTAACATGTTAACCTCATTTTGTTTCAGTTCAGTTAAGGTTCTGCACAAAACTGACACACAATGACACTTACCTTTTGTTTATTTTATTTGCATTGTTTGTATGTTTCCTTCATTGTGGCATGTGGAATTATCCAACAACCTGCACATAAGGAAAAAAAAAAGGCTGAATTTGGACAGAAACCTGACAATATACTGTATATCAAGTGTACACTGAGGTGTTACAGCCTGAAGTAATTGTCTGCTGTTGCTGGCTGCTTGTACACACTGTTGTGATGGGATTTGTAGAGCTGCTGGAGCCCTGGCTCTYCCTCACATTATGAAAGCTCTGTCAACACGACAAGTCAGAGTCACCGAACAATAGGCCTGCAGGAGAGGAGCTGCGCAGCTTTAACCTGGCTGGATGAAGGGGGGAGGCTGGCAGTGAATCAGTGCAAAGTCATCAACTGGAATGGATAAGTCATGAAATGACTCAAGTCTGGAATGATGAGATCACTGCACTTTGTCTTGGTGAGTGTGAGTGTTCACACAAACTTATCTACAAACTTAMAAAATTATCTACAAAAATTAATCTTTTTCTACACGTATCTAGTAATTTATGTGTCAAACAAAGCAAGTACATGTGTTGAAACTCTCTTCAAATGTGATGGATTCCTATTATTATTTAACCAAAAGTTTTTTTCAGCAGGCCTTTTGCATTATTTTGAGAYCATGTGAAGGCACTATATAGTCTCCAAGTTTGGTTTGCCATCGGATGAAGCCACATGTTGTTTTCGAAAGAATGCCTTTAAATAAACTGTATCCTCCTCCTTTCTAATAATTCTACTGAGATGTCGTCCTACAATTCTCTCTCTCACTCTACCCTCTTCACTTTCTCATGACATCGGGCTCCCCTTGAGCCAATCCTGTACAGAAAAGGCCCATTCCATTCCTTGGGACACACAAAGCCAGGAAGGGGGCTGAGGAGAATGTTTTGATTGCACTMAATTGGCCCCTGCTGCTTTTTTAAGGAGCATGTGTGACCTAAAAGACAAGCGTTGTGACAGAAGGCATGGCAGGAATCTTTAATGATTTGCCTCAAGCGCACAGTAAACGGCAGATCTCGCATCGGTCGCAGCCTATGAAACAGGGCGCTTTGAGATATTTCTCTCAAATTATGTCACAATCACCTTTTTCTTTTTTTTTTTTTTTTTTTTTTTTTGTGACAGCAAACAGCTGTCATAGACCACAAACTAACAGTTGTCATGCTTTGGTAGCTACTGATACTTTGGGGTAGTTTTCCACACAGAGAAAAGTATACAAACTCATTACATCTCAGACTTGTGTCAACTTGATCCTAACTTAGTGAAATGAGCAAAATAGAGGACTTTCCTAAAGTAAGAACTGAAGGTAAATAAGACTAAACATAATTGAATTAATAGTGGTCCATACAGTAGTGGTTTAAATACTTTTTCTGCATGTAAATTGTCATTTCATTGAGAAAATCCATGTAAGATTGTTGTTGAC